CTTCCTGTTGTTCTTGCACTTCCTGTTCTTCTGTTTCTTATTGCACTTCCTGTTCTTCTGCTTCTTATTGCACTTCCTGTTGTTCTTCCATTTTCTGTTCTTCTTCTTCTTTTTGCACTTCCTGTTGTTCTTGCATTTTCTGTTCTTCTTCTTATTGCACTTGCTGTTGTTCTTGCATTTCCTGTTCTTCTTATTAATTATTGCACTTCTTCTTCTCCTAGTTATTTCACTTCATGTTGTTCTTGCACTTCCTGTTCTTCTTATTAATTATTGCACTTCTTCTTCTCCTAGTTATTGCACTTCCTGTTCTTTTTATTGCACTTCCTGCTCGTCTTCTTATTATTATTGCACTTCCTGTTTTTCTTCTTTTCATTGCACTTCCTGTTCCCTCCTCTTCTTCTTCTCCTTCTTATGGCACTTCCTGTTCGCTCCACTTCTTCTCCTTCTAAACGGGGATGGATATGTTCTGAACACAGTTCAGGCACGAGACGTTCAGGGTTCTCTTCTACAGGAAGCACAAACACGAAGACGATTCGTCGAACAACGAACCATAAAACTAAAGATGTCCAACCACGGAAACCTTCTGGTTCCACAGAGAACCTTTGGGTTCTACAGTACAGGGAAAGCTTTATTAGTTGAGCCCAAACGGGTCGAGGACGTGCTGGGTCCAGTGTGTTTGACAGTTTTCTCTGTCTGAGGAAAAGTTCTGCACCGTTAAGATCCAAAAGCTGCTCCGAGCAAAAAATGCTTCATTTTTTTTTTATACATTTGGTTCCTCGAGTTCAAATCCCACGAAAACACACAAAGACTGAACTCAAACGCGTTTGGACCAAAAAGGCATCATCATCTTTAACGACCCGGTCTGGACCCGGTCTCATCCGTCAGGCACTTCACCTGCAGCAGGAGATACAGAACCGATCCAGGGATCTTTCAGATCCTGGACAACTTCCTCTCTTGGCACATTTTCATTTGCTCAGGCTGGAGTTTAGAGCCCCCCTCGACCCGTCACAACTTTCAGAACCAGAGTCTGTTGGGTCCAGGGGTCCGTGTCTGCTCACATGAAGGAGTGTTCTGCTGGAGGTCCGTAGGAAAAGCCCGGGAAGGCCCCGGCTGCTTCCTTCAGGCTGCTGGTCACCATCACGGTGTCGCTGCAGAGGGAGGATGACACCGGCAGGTGGGTGAACTCTGGGTCAAAGTGCCGCAGGTCGGTTGGACCGGACTGAGGGAACACAGAAAACAAGATCAGAACCTGGAGGAGTTCTGTCAACAACTGGACCTCACAAGGACGCTTAGACCATCTACAGCTGAAACCACAAGTTTACATACAGGAAATAAAACACACTGTTGGACCCAAATCACATCAAACCGGTCCCGTTTCAGGTCCGTTAGGAGTCGGTCAGTTCTGGTTCAGGTCCGTTTGGGCTCGGTCAGCTCTGGTTCAGGTCCTTTAGGACTCGGTCAGCTCTGGTTCAGGTCCGTTAGGACTCGGTCAGCTCTGGTTCAGGTCCGTTAGGACTCGGTCAGCTCTGGTTCAGGTCCGTTTGGACTCGGTCAGCTCTGGTTCAGGTCCGTTAGGAGTCGGTCAGTTCTGGTTCAGGTCCGTTTGGACTCGGTCAGCTCTGGTTCAGGTCCTTTAGGACTCGGTCAGCTCTGGTTCAGGTCCGTTAGGGCTCGGTCAGCTCTGGTTCAGGTCCTTTAGGACTCGGTCAGCTCTGGTTCAGGTCCGTTAGGACTCGGTCAGCTCTGGTTCAGGTCCGTTAGGGCTCGGTCAGCTCTGGTTCAGGTCCGTTAGGACTCGGTCAGCTCTGGTTCAGGTCCGTTTGGGCTCGGTCAGCTCTGGTTCAGGTCCTTTAGGACTCGGTCAGCTCTGGTTCAGGTCCGTTAGGACTCGGTCAGCTCTGGTTCAGGTCCGTTAGGACTCGGTCAGCTCTGGTTCATGTCCTTTAGGACTCGGTCAGCTCTGGTTCAGGTCCGTTAGGACTCGGTCAGCTCTGGTTCAGGTCCTTTAGGACTCGGTCAGCTCTGGTTCAGGTCCGTTAGGGCTCGGTCAGCTCTGGTTCAGGTCCTTTAGGACTCGGTCAGTTCTGGTTCAGGTCCGTTAGGGCTCGGTCAGCTCTTGTTCAGGTCCTTTAGGACTCGGTCAGCTCTGGTTCAGGTCCTTTAGGACTCGGTCAGCTCTGGTTCAGGTCCGTTTGGACTCGGTCAGCTCTGGTTCAGGTCCTTTAGGACTCGGTCAGCTCTGGTTCATGTCCTTTAGGACTCGGTCAGCTCTGGTTCAGGTCCGTTAGGACTCGTCAGCTGTGGTTCAGGTCCGTTAGGACTCGGTCAGCTGTGGTTCAGGTCCTTTAGGACTCGGTCAGCTGTGGTTCAGGTCCATTTGGACTCGGTCAGCTGTGGTTCAGGTCCGTTAGGACTCGGTCAGCTGTGGTTCAGGTCCGTTAGGACTCGGTCAGCTGTGGTTCAGGTCCTTTAGGACTCGGTCAGCTCTGGTTCAGGTCCTTTAGGACTCGGTCAGCTCTGGTTCAGGTCCTTTAGGACTCGGTCAGCTGTGGTTCAGGTCCGTTTGGACTCGGTCTTTAAACCGTCTGAATCGGGTCAAACGTTCTGGTTTCTGTCCTCAAGCTTCTCTCAGTGTGTTGGACTTTGGTCCCGTTCCTCCAGACCGAACGGGTCAACTGGGTCAGGTCTGATGCCTTTTCAGATCAGGTCTTTGTGATGGATGCTCCAAAACATGGACGCCATTGTTCATAATCCTCGGTGTACCTAATCTGTCCACATGCTGAGGGACACTGTCCACTTCAAGACACATTAATGTCCAAGCTTTACTTTTATGGACACAGCTCTGTTTTGGTCTCATGAGACCACAGGGCAAGTCTCCAAACATGAAGGTTTGAATTTTAAAGAAGATTTTTTTAAATCCCTCTTTATTTGGACATTTAGCAGATAAAATCCTTTTGGTCATTCCATCCAGATGATGGAAACATCTGGTTCTTCTATAGATCTGAAAACATGTCTCAACCTCAGCAGAGCATTTTCTGAAGCTAGTCGGGACATCAGGATGTCCCTGAACGCACCACGGAGGGGATGAATGGAGGCGTGATCTTCTTGGCCATCAGGTCGTCCCAGCTGATCGGGGAGAAGAAGGAGTGGTACTTCAGCTCCAGCTGGAGGGAAACAGAACCGCAGTGAGCAGACCCGTGGGTTTGAAACGTGCAGCAGAACCAGCAGCCAGCACTTACGAAGTCGTCCCGAGCCCCGAGCCGCTTGGTGCGGTCCTTCTGCAGGAGCCCCTCCAGCAGCTCCCTGCCGGCGTTGGACACGTTGGGTTTCAGGACCGGAGACTTGTGCAGGATGTTGTTGTACATCTCTGCCGTGTTCCGGCTGTAGAACGGAGGCTGAGGGAGAACAAGGAACCGGATCAAACTGACCGTCTGAGCAGACGGTGGGGGGACAGAGGTCATCGTTTCACTTACGAGTCCATACAGCATCTCATAGAGCACCGAGCCGAGGCACCACCAGTCCACCGTCCGGTCATACGCCTGCTTCTGCAGAACCTCAGGAGCCAGGTACTGCAGAGAGGACAGAAACATCAGGACTTCTCAGGGTTCCTCAGAGCACTTCCTGCTCCTGAACGTACCTCAGGTGTTCCACAGAAGGTGGTTGTGGTTCCGTTGGGTTCTAAGCCTTCCTTGCAGAGTCCAAAGTCCGTCAGGAGAATGTGGCCCTGTGAGTCCAGCAGGATGTTCTCAGGCTTCAGGTCTCTGCAGGAGGAACAGAGGTGACGGGTCATGATCCTGGAAGTCCAGCAGAGGGCGCTGCAGGTTCAGGGTGCTCACCTGTACACAATGTGCAGAGAGTGCAAGTAGCCCAGGGCGCTGGCTATTTCTGCAGCGTAGAACCGGGCTCTGGGTTCCAGGAAGATCCGTTCTCTCTGGAGGTGATAGAAGAGCTGCAGAGAACAACACACCTGGATGAGACTGAGCCCAGATCTGCTGCAGGGTTCTGAGCCTGGTTCTGTCCCTGGTTCTGGAGCTCACCTCTCCTCCGTTAACGTAGTCCAGGACAAAGTAGAGCTTGTCAGCGGTCTGGAAGCAGAAGTGCAGGCCCACCAGGAAGGGGTGCTTGATGTTCTTCATGAGAACGCTGCGTTCTGCCATGATGTGCTTTTGCTGCAGAACAATCAGACGTTCTGTTACTTTCAGGTTCCACCAATTTATAAAACGAGAGAACAAAGTTCTGGTTCTGACCTCCTTCTTCTTCAGGATGATCTTCTTCTGGAGAACTTTCACAGCATAGTACATAGCTGTCTCCTTGTGCCGGGCCAGAAGAACCTGCAGAGAAGAACCCAACCAGTGATGAGACAGTTGTCAGTCACACAGACAGGTGGTTCAGCCCCTCAGACAGGTGGTTCAGCCCCTCAGAC